GGGCCGTCCCGTGCCGCCGGCTCGGGAGGCTCGCCGTCGCGCGGACACGCGCCTGTCCGGTCGGCGGCTCTTGCTTTGCAACGAGAGTTCGCTTCTGAACGCCGGCGCCGGGGAGTCGGGCTGCGCTCGGGCCGGGTTCGGGAGAAGGGCTTGCGTCCCCCGTGGTCAGCGAGGGCTGTTGTGGGCGTCGGGCCCGCGCGGAGGTGGCCGAGTGGTGAGTTTTGGTGAGATGTTTAACTTCTAGCTTGTTCCCCGTGTCTCGATGCAAAGCAGAAGCCTAGAGCGGCCGGGCTGTCTCCCCTCGGGAGGTCGCGTCTAGTCCACCCCCCCTGCCCCAGACAGGACTGGTGCCGTCTGAAGAGCCCCAGACATGTTAGTTAGGGTTAGGCCACGTGTCCGCCTAACCGAGGCTTAAAAGTTGGGAACGACTCTGGCGCGCAGCTCCTGAGACGTCCAGCTGCTCCAGACGAAGCCAAGCCAAGGGCCAGAAGGAGGTGGTTAATACACGCTCAGAGATCCCAGGCAGGGTCCGTGCCCCCGCTGCAGAGGAAGTCAGGACCCCCCCCCCCCCCCTTCAGTTTGTGCCAGTTCAACTGGGAGGGTTCAACTTCTTTCCTGGCCCCCTGTTTAACAACGGGGCTGACCCTGAGCACTAGAGCCAGGGACTGACAGGTTTTAGCCCTAACAGGGGCATCAGCACGGCCCCATCTGGAGTCTGTTTAAAGCACATGGAGCTCCCAGGAGCGGGAAACCTGTTCAAATAAACTTTCCCACGAGAGTCCTCACGTTCCCTGGGCTTTGGTCTTAGAGCAGTGCCCAAAATAAACTGCTGACTGCCTTGCTTTTGAGCTGCAGTCTTTCTGCCTGTGAGATGTGCTGACTGGTGCTTCGTGTGTGTCCTGGCGGTTAGGATGTGGCCTTGAGAGGCTGGTCTCTGGGCTTTGGAGGGCGCGGCGGGGCCTGGTGGGGTAGGACAAGACATCACAGGACACACCTGGGTCCTGTCCCTGGCTCTCAGAGACGGAGACAGGACCCGTGGGTTCTTGGAGGGTGTTGTGGGCTGATGGGTTAAGACAGGACACCAGGACACCTGGGTCCTACCTGACCACTACAGGCTTGGGACCGACTGGATAAGCAGCAGCTCTGCAGGAAAGCACCTAGGGGTCACAGTGGACAAGAAGCTGAATAGGAGCCAGCAGTGTGCCCTTGTTGCCGAGAAGGCTAATGGCATCCTGGGCTGCATCAGTAGAAGCATTGCCAGCAGGTTGAGGACAGGTATTCGGCACTAGGGAGGCCACATCCGGAGTCCGGTGTCCAATTTTGGGCCCCCCGCTACAGAAAGGATGTGGAGAAATTGGAGAGAATCCAGCAGAAAGCAGTGGAAATGGTTGAGGGGCTGGGGCACGTGATTTGTGAGGAGAGGCTAAGGCTAAGGGCTTGTTTTGTCTGCAGAAGGGAAGACTGAGGGGGATTTGATAGCAGCCTTCAACTCCCTGCAGGGTGGCTCCAAAGAGGCTGGAGCTGGGCTGTGCTCAGTGGTGGCAGATGACAGAACAAGGAGCAATGGGCTCAAGTTCCAGCAAGAGAAGTTGAGGTTAGATACTAGGAAAAACTTTCTCTCTAGGAGGGTGGTGAAGCACTGGAATGGGTTACCTAGAGAGGTGCTGGAGTCTCTGTCCTTGGAGGTGTTTAAGACCTGGGTACCCAAAGCCCTAGCTGGGATGATCTAGTTGGGGATAGTCCTGCTTTGAGCAGGGGGTTGGGCTAGATGTGACCTCCTGAGCTCCCTTCCAGCCCTCGTTTTCTATGGTTCTCAGAGATGGTTAGGCTACGGAGACAGGACTCCTGGGTTTCCAGAGGGTGCTGAGTCCTAGTGGGTTAGGATGGGCTGTCAGGACTCCTGAGTCCTATCTGGTTGTCAGAGGTTTGGGGTAAGGAGACAGGGTGCTGAGTTCTTGGAGGGTTGTGGAGCCTAATGACTTAAAACAAGCTATCAGGATGCCTGGGTCCTATCTGATCCCACCACATCAGACCACCCCCTCCCTTAGGCCTAACCAGCACTGTTAATTGGCACAAGAGCCTGCAATTGCCCTGGGCTTTCAAAGGATTGGTCAGGGGTGAAGAGAAGTAGATCCCGGGGTTAGAGCTGAAGTACCCAGCTCTCAGCATGGGGAGTCCAGCTGCCTCCCTGCTAGGGATGGGAAATGTTTCCTCGCGAAGTAATCCATGCAAGGAGATCACCCTGCCACCACGGGTTTCTGTGACTCGCCCCTGGCACCTGTCCTTCCCCGCTCCCTAGCAGGCCAGCATACTTGCCAACCACGTGTCTGCAGCGCCGGCGTCCTGATTTGAACTCGGGGCCTCTTATTGAGTCTTTGTCAGCTCGGAGATCTTACAGCCCTGGCTAAGGCAGGCTTTGAATCGGGATTCATTGCAGAATTGCCTTCTCTCTGCTTTGGGTGGCTGGAAAGGACTTAGCAGGCTGCCCTGGTGTTGACACTGCAACCTGCATGATTGACTGGCATGTTCAGCTCTTTAGGGGCTGAGATTGGAGCACAAAATATCCACCCTGCAGGCAGCCGCCTTCATAAACCCGGCGACAGATGCGCTAACTGCCTTGCTGTCTCCTGCCAGATGTCACTGTTTGCTTTCCTCCTTTTTTCCTGGGACCCAGCGCAGCAAATCCAGCCTCTCCGGAGATGCCCGGGGCTGTCGGGAGAGGCTTTCTGCCATTCATCCCCACTTAGCCCTGCCTATCAAAGCAGCACCCGGCAAGTGATTCACAAACATGCCAGGAGAGGCAATTTCCATGGTTAAAAAGCATCCGAGGCTCTAGCACATGCCTGTGAATTCTCCCTCCCTGGGTCACACCGGGACAGGCAAGTGGTTTCTTTGCTTCTGGGATGCTTGCCTGGGTCTCTTTGCAATGAAATTGCGTGCGTCTTGAGTCCATAGTCTGGTTTTTGGGGATTGGTGGAAGCAAATAGGATATATGGGGTGGTTTGGATAGGGACAGTCCTGTCTTACACAAGGGATTGGACTAGATCAGAATGGGCAAAAATATGACTCGTGGGCCAGATCCAGCCCACCAAGGGGTTTTATCCGCCCTGTGGTGGGTTCCTTGGCCCCACCCAGCCCAGGCACAAGGAGCAGCCCATGCCGTGGCTTGTGCAGCTGCTCCCGCTGCCCCTGGGCACGCAGCGGAGCTGGAGCAGCACAAAGGCTGGACTTGCTTCCTGGCAGCCCCAGCAGCACTGCCACTGCCAGTGTTGCAGCTGCCGCTGGATCCAGCCCTCCTGCCTGGGCTTCCTGGCTCATCTGTCCCACACCCACTGCCAGGGGCACCAGATGGAGTGGGCAGGCAGGGTCTCCACTGAGGCCGGCCCAGGACCCGCACAACTGGGATGTGCTTGGCCAGGCAGATGGAACGGGGCTGTGGGCGGGTGGAGAGCAACGTCCAGAAGCAAGTGGGGCTGCGGATGGGCTCACAGGGCAGTGACAATGTGGGGCTGGGGCCCAGAGCAGAGCCACAATCTATTCTCTGCATGTCCCTGTAATGAGCACTGGTCCTACAGGCAGGGGCACACGGGGAGCAGGTTGTGGCTCTGCCCTGGGTCCTGGCCTGCGCTGTCACCACCCTGCAATCGCATCCTGCTCCTGAATGCCACTCCCTCCGTGCCTGCAGCACCATCCCATCTGGGTGGCAGAGCACATCCCGCTCGTGCAGGCCAGTCTCCATGCAAGCCTTGGGATCTCTGGGCCTTGAGGCAGAGCTACTTAGGGAGTTGTGGTAAGCTGTTGTGGGCTGTGGGACAGAGCGACAGGGGTGGAAATGCTGACCCAGCCTGCGACAAGTCACCAAAACTCCCGAAGTGGTTCTCCAGCCAAATAATTGCCCACCCCTGGACTAAGTGATCTCTGGACCTCCCTTCCAGCCTGACTTCTCTCTAATTCTATGAATGCGGTGTTTCTACCCCAGTTTATAGTGTGGATGTAAAACCAGTATAAAATATTTGGTGGGTGAGTAGGGCAAAAATTCCCCAGCCCCTCACCTGGGGATGGACATTTTTGGATTGGAAGGCAGCTTTAACGCGGCTTCCCTGTGTCCTCTCTGGATTTCTGTGGTGCGGTGTTTCATGACTGGAGCTAGTGCTGAACAACACGGGTTCTGTGCTGGCCAAAAATACACCTTGGCATTCAATCAAACAGGTTTCAAGGAGGCCTCCGAAAACTCTGTGTCCCAGAAGGCAGTGCTCTGATGGAAACAATGGACTCTTGGAGCAGTGCATGCTGGGATGTGTAGTTTTTCCAAGCTGGTCACTGACAGCAGCTGCTCCTCTGTTCCTCCCTTGAGCTCTTGTGTTCCAGGTGAGGACCCTTCTGCTATAAATTCATGTCCTTTTGTTCCAGAGAAAGTCCAGCAAAGCCAAGGAGAAGAAGCAGAAGCGGCTGGAGGAACGGGCCGCCATGGACGCTGTCTGCGCCAAGGTGGAAGCAGCCAATAAAGTAAGTGCTTACTACTGGCTCTGCCCAGCTCTCTCTGTTCAGCCTCTCCTGCCCATCAGACAGCTCAGACAAGAGCTTGCTTGGCTTATTCTCGTTAGTTATTAATGCTCTTATTTCTTCTTCCCCCATCTCCCCGCAGCTTGGAGACCCCCTAGAAGCTTTTCCAGTGTTCAAGAAATATGACCGCAATGGGTGAGCCTACACCACTTGGTTTATTCTTCACGGGCAGGCCAGGGCTTGGGGCCAGAAAGCAGTGCGGGGCTTTACAAAGTGGGGGGTGCACTCCCCTGCTCCCAGCCTCCCCCCACCCCCGGGCAAGCAAACAGCGCTGCAAGAGCTGCAGCCAAGGACTTAAGTCTCAAGGAAGGTAAGCATCCCCCTCCATGCTCAGAGGGTTTTCCCCTCTCCATGTCTCATTGTCGTGCTGGGCTGCGGGCGGCCAGGTCTGGGGGTCACTGAGGGTCAGGAGAAGTAGCCAAGATCTGAGGGGTGTGTGCAGAGTCTGAGTGTAGG